AATTCAAGAAACACATCAGTTAATTATACACCAAAATAATTATAAATTACACCTAAAAACTAATAAATTAATATTATACACACAAGATGAAATAAATACAATGATTAGAGTAAATTAACATAAATAATACCAAAATTCGACATAAATAAATAATTAATTAAATAAATAAATAAAAACTATAAAATATGACAAAATCAAGAGTTATCAGTGACCTATTATATCATATCCCATTTTGTGGTGTCGGATTCGTAAATATATTGTTCAATTTATTATATTGTGTCTTGATAATTTCAGCTCTGCGATTTGTATAAAAATGACTCAATTTTCGATAAATTGAATACTCTCTAAGCAGAGATACTATTCGAGTTAGCTTGTTCTTACAGGTAAGTATCAGTTTATGTTCAGATTTATTGTTGCTTTTACTTAAAACCATACATACTCAATGAGGTAAATCTTAAGATCTAATTTCTATTTGTATATCTTCTTTTTTTATACTGTTGGAACCCGCAGCCGCTACTCGACAAGTGCGCTCTAGGTAAACCCTCAGCCGAACCTAATATCCTGCAAACTAGGCCCGATAAGGAAAGTCACACTAAGCGGACCATATGTAGCAGGCGTCAGGGGTTTGAATCCACGACCTCACGGTCATAAACTCACTCTCCACACTACCAGACCATCAATTACGAGACTTTTTTTTTTTGTATATCTCTAAATTTAAGGTAAGTGACTAAGGAGTGATTTTAATTTATGTAACCATGGATGCAATTCAGTTTTAGATGTTTTTGTGCTTGTAATCATGCAAGGTATGTGCCATTTCTTAATTCATGTGGTTAATTTTTTTTGTTTTCAATTAGAGCTCGGGTAATTCTTAATTACTTTGATTTTTATTACCCATAATGATGTGATACCTCACATATTTAGATGAAAAAATAATATGTGAATGCATCATTTAACATGTCTGTCACGACTGCTATGATTTCAGAGATCTCACTTATACTGCCATATCAAATGTTGTGCCACAGACCTTTGATGTCTATCCCATCGAGTGGACGTATAAAGGTATATGTAATTTATCTTTGAAGGTATTTTCTAAATTACTAATTTATTTATTTCACAAGTAAATTTTTACATAATCTACTTATTCGTTGCAGTTGGTTCTCCGCTAATGAGATGTGCCTCCTTCGTATTTTTTCACTGCATCAACATTTGCGTATCATGTATATGTTGGGACTTCGATTGATGTCTTATATGTTTTCTGTATTGGATTGATCATTTATATTTTTCGAACAATTAATATTTAGTATTGATGATGTTATGATTGTATTATATGTTTCAGACTGTTTGATATGTTGGATTATATTATGTTTCCTTGATTGTAACATTATTTTTTTATATATATATATTATGGGCTTTTACAATGAATTTTTAGTTGATTCAGTACGGTTGTTCGATTGTAGTTTGAAATTTAATTTTGTAGTTGTGTACTAATTGGGACAAATATTGGTAAATCGTACATACAAAAAAAAAAAAAAAATTAGAGACGGAATTTGCGATAGATCTTGTCAATCACAAACTATCAATAGTTATTCAGTGAAGGTTTCTCCCACACTCCATTTCTTTTTATTTTGGGTTTATTATTATTATTATTTTTTTATGTAAATTGATTGTGTTTTTCATTATGTGTTCTTCATTAGAGTCTTTTAGAGGTGTTTTATTTTTTAGATTGTACATTGTTGCTATCAAATTCAAGATTTTTATATTAGCTTGTTTTTGTATGTTCCCTTTCCAACAACCATTTGTATGCACTATTTCCAAAAGTGGTATCATAATTTACATATCTGGTGAGAAAGTCTAGTCAAAAGTATGAATATAAAAAAAATTAACAGAAAAAAAAAATAAAATTCAACACAATATGAAAATAAATATGAATGTTTTCCTCATACAAACTAGCTTGTAAATCGTGGAAAACCCATTTTAAAAATAAAATGAGAGAAAAATTAAATGTCTTTAAATTGAGAATAGTTTAAAATTTTGTAACACAAGATTTGATGATTTTTGTGTAGAATATGACATAAAAAGGCATAAAATTAACCTATATACACCCCCCAATAAAATGAGATTGCCGAACCAATGAACCGGACTCATTTAAAAAGGTTTAGAAGCTTATGAACTTATCTGGAATGTCTAAAATGTTTGGAAGAGGTTGTTGTAACAGTATTATATTTTGTGATTAAGTCTTTTTTTTTTTTTTTTTTTTTTTAATAACGTGAGAATTCGCAATTTATTGGCACGGGATTTCGCTATTTGATTTCTATTAGCATACCGGTCTTGAAACTGTATGGTCAAGTATAAATACATATTTGTCAAACCCTTGTAGATCAAGCGGTGACAGATCCCTCGCTTGAGGGTTGGGTCCTAGGTTCAATTTTGGGTGGGTGCGTGTGTTATCAACCTAAACCCGACCGCCCTACTAGTCGTGACCCGATGCTTTGTTATTAACCCGCATGTAAATTTTGTTTTGTATACCGAGCCTTTTTACCTTCGACATGGCCTTGAAGATCTTCTTGATAAGGAACCAGAATTGATTTCCATCAGCTAAGACGAGGATCATGAATCGGAGAAAGAGGAAAGACAGGATAATACATTTTCAGATACGTACCACATTTCCTTCTTGATCCATAATAATAAATGTTATATTTTCAATTTCCTTGTAAACTAAGTAGGACCTTTTTCAAGTAGGGGACTATTTCTCCAACTGATCCACCTTTTTATAAGTCAGTAAAATAGTTTTCCAAACCAAATCACATTCCTTAAAAGTCTTGTAAAGAGTTATTTTATCATAATGTCTGGCCTACACCTCGCCATGTTTGACCATCTGATCAATCGCTTTGAAACGAATAACGCCCAGATCCTCCAACTGCTACATCATACCTTGCTGACATTCTTCGTCAAAATCCAGCATGGTGTTAACAGTATGAATCAATGGTACATGAAGCTCGGTTGGTAACACCGTATGTTGTCCAAATGTGAGCTGATTTGGCAAAAACTCCATGTCTGAACTTCTGCTATTACGATGTGCCCGGAGAGCTTGAGACAACAACGTATGCCATTTTCTTGGATTTTCACTAATCATTTTTTTTATGATACCAATGATAATCTTATTTGTTGTTTCTGTCTGACCGTTAACTTGTGGATAATAGGGAGATGAATGATGCAACCGAATATTAAAACCAGCCAGAAATTCGACGAACTTCTCCCCAATAAAAGTCAAACCTTGATCTATGATAATAGTGTGCGGAACCCCAAATCGGTAAATAATAAGATTTAAAACAAATTCAATTACCTCTTTTTTTTGTTGCATTCTTCAAAGGAATAGCCTCGACCCACTTGGTGAAATAATTTGTCGCGACTAAAATGAAACAGTGATGTCAGATGTCTCTTACCAATAAAATCCATTGCCCAGGCTTTAAATGTCCAAGGTTTGACCGAAGTATGGAGATCCATAGCTGGCGGATGATTCAACGGTCTATGCCTTTGCCATTCTTGACATCCTTTAGCAAACTTAATACAACTCTCAAATATTTTCGGCCAAAAGAATATCAGGTGATGAATAGCCCACCTCATATTTAAACCCGCTCGATGACCCAGTATATCCCACTATGAACTTCCTGCATCACTTCTAGTGACTCCCCTGGCCCCAAAACTTTTAATAACAAACCGTTAAAGGTCCTCTTATATAGTATTCCTTCAATGAGCTGAAATCGTAATGCCTTCAACCGAATACCCACGGGTGCAATCGAATTAGGCTCTTTTAGATATCCATGATATCCGTCCTCCATTCGGCTAGGACTTCTGCGCCTGTGTTACAAATGGCCACACTTATCACCCGCCTACAAGCACCTTGAGCCAAGTCATCCGTATGGGATTTTATGTCATCGGGATATGTTCAAAACTGGCTTTTCTGAAATTCTTGACAACAATCGAAACGCCAAAGCTCTATATCGTTGTAAATAAAAGAAATTGCACGAATAACGTCTTGTTACCTGATTGATCACTAATTGCGAATATCCTTGAATCACAATCAACTGGACTTTTTTCGCAATCAAAGCCTCAAGTCCTAGAATCAGAGTTTCATATTAAGCCGAATTGTGGGTCATCGCTTGCAATTGCAATTTGATCATCCGACCATTAGGCCCTTCAAGAATCACACCGGCCCCTCTTCCTGCTTTTGAAGTAGACCTGTCGAAGCGCATAGACCAAGTTTGTATACTCACATATGGTTTAAACTTTTTTTTTTTTTTTTTTTTTTTCCCTCGTGAATTTTGCTAAGAGATCAGCAACCACTTGCTATTTGATTGGCAACCACTTTTTTTATTTGAGTATGATACAAATTTATTTTGGCGAAAATGATTTACATGGTTGCGTGTTGTACCCAGAAACATCGAAATTTAAACTCATGATTTTACAATCACAAGTTCATTTCCACATTATCGGATCATCCTTTACGCACGAGCTTCTAACCATTTTGTTTATGTAAAGTGTTATTCATTATTTCTTATGATTTCGTTGATAAAAAAACTTTGTATCGATCTATATTTTCATTACTATATTTTAATTTATAAAAAGTACACTGTACAATAATAAATAAATAAATAAATGAAACAAAATTTATACATAAGAGAAGTAATATGACAAACAAACACGCCATTGATTTTTTTTCTGATTTAATTATAATGAACAATGATAATATTAGAAAAATCAGTATTGCCAAATATCACTTATTACCGCACGCTCTCACACTCGCGTGAAATCAAACCACTCATTCTCCACTTAACAAGCTCTCTGGACCAAAAAACCAGATAAATCCTCGCCATCAATTTTCTCAACTCAACAACACGAACGGTGACGATCCATCCGGCGCAACACTCCACGTACCTCCTCAAAATCACCGGAACAAACCATCATGCCTCGAAATTTCTCCGTATTCGAGAGGTCAATTCTTGCCACCATTATTTCCACCCTTTCATTACACCTTCTCGCCAAGAAACACAATTCGTCTCTAATTTCTTGTTCACAATATTATGAAATCAAATATTATTTAGATTTTTGGCCACAAAAAACCCAATCAAAAGGCATATTATACAAAATACCCAAATCATGGAGTTCTTCGTCAAGACCAAAGCCGTTAAGCTCAAAAGCCACTTAGACAAGTACCTGGTCGCCGGCGAGGACCAGGCCGCCGTCCGGCAGAGCCGCAACGGCGCCGCCCGGAAGGCGCGGTGGCTGGTGGAGCTCGTGGACACAAACCCACACGTCGTCCGCCTCAAGAGCTGCTACAACCGCTACCTGGCCGCCTCCGGCGAGCCGTACCTCCTCTGCATGACCGGCCGGCGAGTCCTGCAGACGCTGCCGGAAAATCACGCCAAGGATTTGTCGATCGAGTGGCAGCCCATCCGCGACGGGTTTCAGGTGAAGCTGAAGGCCTCCGACGGAACGTATCTGAGGGCGAACGGCGGGACGCCGCCGTGGAGGAACACGGTGACGCACGATTGCCCCCACGCCGCGGCCACGCACGACTGGGTGGTCTGGGACGTGGAGGCGGTGGAGGTGCCGGAGGATGAGGCCGTCGCCGATTACTGGTCCATGGTCTGGAGCTTCTCGTCGATCTCCGATGAGATCGCCGGCTTGGACATCGGACCGCTCTCGACCCGGTCTAGCTTCTCCGGTTCACCGTCGCCGTCTCCCTCGCCTCGGTGGCTCTCTGCGAAGAAGGTAAACGGGTTTTTTTTTTTTTACTCTCAATATAATAGTCTTGTTTATCATTTTTGTCTTATTCCAAAATAATACTCTCATTTGCATAAATATTCATATTACTAAAAAAAATTATATTTATTATTTCATTATTATATCACTACTTTTTATATTAATATATTAACAAGAACAAAAAGATCTTTTACTTATACTTTTTATCAATTATCAATATAATACCAGTGAAGCAAAAAGTTAAATAAAAATATAAAAAAATTATTAAAAAATTTATAAAAAAAATCAAAACAATAAAGAACAATTAAAATAGTTATAATTTGTTAAAATAGTAATTATAAAATTATAAATAAATAATTTTAGTGTGTGTTTGTTGGGGGATTTTCCCCCAATGCACTATTCATTCTATTTTTCTTTCTAAAAATATCAAATCAAATATCTTTTTTTTATATTATATTAAAAATCAATTTTACATTCAAAATATTACATCAACATCTATTTATATCCCATCATACAACTATTCAAATTAAAAACTTTTACTATTTGAATAGCAACTGAAAATCCAAACCCCCAACAAACACAGCCTTAAGTGGAAAAAATTGTTAATAAGAAAGAAGACCATGATCACCCATTTATAACAAAAAAAAAATAATTTCGTCAGAAGTTGCATTAATCTGCCCAAAGCATAATGACTTTGTAATAAAAAATAATTAGAGGAAGAAAGAATTGGTTTTCTTAATTGGCCGACAACGACGTCCATAATTAAAAATTGCTAAGTGTTGAATTACGTGGTACTATAAAAAGCTAGCTGTGGCCATATATCAACCAATTTCGTTTCTAACAAGGTAAACAATAATTTGGAGTTATGTGAGGAAGAAAAAACAATTCGGCGCTATTTATTATTTTTATTTGATTTTTGTATTAATTATTTATTTTTCAAATATTAAGTTTAATAGTATTGATTTTTATATATTTAAAAAAAAATTATTTTTCTTAATTTCAGTTTTGATATAAAAAATATATTTATATCCCATCAAATGTTTATTTTATTTTTACTATTATATATATATTTTTAATTTAAATATTATTTTAATATAATATTTTATAGAAGAAGATAATAGTAATATACTTTTATTAAAAATTATAAAGACTTAATAGCATCATTTTCTTACAAATCGAAATCAAACAATCCTAATTACTACTATTTTTTAAACAATCAAAATTTTGCTATATTTGTCAAAATTTATTTATTTAAAATTATTATCTTAAAAATACTCTTCGGTTAAAAATTTTCTATTGAAAATATATTATTAATTTAAGACATCAAAATTATGTCTTTTATTATTATTATTTTTTTTGTATTTAGAAAATTGAAAAAAAAAAGTCTATCTTGTCCACTTTAAAGGTTGACATTTACTTTTTGGTGTTAATTTTTAAATATTAATTGTTATATCAAAATATATAGTACAAATTAAATAAAAATAATAAAAATACTTTTATTAGTATTTTATAATACAAATATAATAATATTTGTATAAAAATTATATACAAATACAAAAATATTTTTAATGTTATGTACAATGACGCATAAAGTAAACATGAATTTTCAAAACGAACATAGGGAGTATATGGTAGTTCTAATAATATTTAATTTTATTATTTTTAGATATTTTATAAAAAAAATAATAATATATTTTATTAAAAACTATATATAATGAATAATAAAAATACTAAAACCAAATATATATTCATTAGATTTTAGTATATTATGATTGTATAGATAATAGTACAATAAAAACATAAAAATAATAGTTTGTCTTTAAGTTCATAATTTTTTTAGTAACCTTCCTTTTAGTATTGTGTAAAGTGAAATATTTTTGATAAAATAAAAATAATTTACTATAAAAAAACTAAATACATATGAATTATACAAACAATAATTCCAAAATAATTCGGACATTATCAAACAAAAATTCCAAAATAATTAGGACCTTATCAAAATACCACAATATTTTTTAAATATGCAGCTTTAAATTTTGTCCCTTCCATTTAGAAAATCTGTGCTCATTTGAATTGAATACGATTTTTAATAAATGAATTATTTTCTCCGTTTCAAAACTATGGTCTTATTTGAGTTTGACATAGAAGAATATTGATATTATATTAATAATTGATAAAAAGTATGAATAATTTTTTTTTTTAATGAAAATAGACTATTATTTTGAGACTGACGAAAATTGCAAAATAAAATTATTATTTTAAAACGAAAAAAGTATATAAATAGTAACAATATATTTGTAAATAAATGTAATATGAAAATATATAAATAAAAAAATGTGTAACATTATTTTGTTATGAATAAAAAATACTACCTCCTTGCCATATTTATGAATTCATTTTTTTACATAGAATTTTAAAAATATTAGTATTATATTAAGATGCAGTAGAAATAAATATAAAAATATTAAATTAACCTTTATTAGTATGATATGATGTAAAAGTAATACACCAAAATAAAAAATAGATATATTGTTAAAAAACATAGAGTATTTTTTAGAGAAAAAAAAAAAGAACAAAATAATTAATTAATTAAGAATTTTTGGCAGAGCCCTTTCCTGTCGTTATCTCGCACTACCGCCATGGACATCTTCCAGACAGCGAAAGCCGTACGGCTGAAGAGCATCCACGGCAAGTACCTGACCGCCGACGATAACGAGGAATCCGTCACTCTGCACCGAACCGGAAACTCCAAATCCGCCAAATGGACCGTCGAATTAGTCGAAAGCTCCGACACGATCGTCCGGTTGAGGAGCTGCTACGGCAAGTACTTAACGGCGTCAACCCAGCCGTTTCTGCTGGGCTTGACGGGTCGGCGGGTGGTGCAGACTCAGCCGAGCCGCGTCGACAGCTCCGTCGAGTGGGAGCCGATCAGAGAGAGCGGCGGCGTCAAGCTGAAGACCCGGTACGGACACTATCTGCGGGCCAATTTGGGGCTGCCGCCGTGGCGGAATTCCGTCACGCACGACATTCCGCATCACGCCGCCACTCAGGATTGGATTCTCTGGGAGATTCATGTCGTCGAGATATTAGACGATCACCACCACGAGGAGGCGGCGCCGCCTCCGGCGACGGCGGCGGAGGCGGCGTTGGATTTGGTTCCGTACGAATCGAGCTCGCCGAGTTCGAGCCACCGTTCCTCCAAATCGGCTAGCTTATCGGGACACGAGGTAATTTAATTATTAAAATTTAAAAAAGTACAAATTTATATATAATTTAATACAATAAATTATATTTTTGACGGCTTGAAAATATTTGTTTCATTACACCAAAATCCCAAAGTTTTTACTATTTGATCTTTATGTTGTTCAAAAAAATATATATACTTTTTTCTGACAAAATATTTCATTATACATTATTTTGATACCAAATTCAAATTACAATTTTTCAAAAAAAAAAAAAAAAAAAAAACCTACTTGTTAGATTCGAAAATAGTAAAAAATACTCCCTCCGTCATTCAAATCTATGTTCACTTTTCTTTTTTATTGTTATCGAAAAATATTTTTATTTTTTTAAGTAAAAAATCATTTCACTTTTATACTGTTTTTTACTATAAAAAATAATTAACAATTATTACTTACTTTTATTAAAATTTGTGTCCATCAAATAAAGAGACATTTACTTGGAAAGAGTAATTGAATAGAGAATATTATACAAAATAGCACTTTAAATATTTACTTTTTACTCAACTTTATAATATACTAATATTATTAAAAATTTTCAAAACTTCAATTAGTTTCATATGTATTGAAATAAACTGTAAAATTTTGATATGCGAAGTATAAATGATAATTTATTATATTTTTTAATTTATTTTTATACTATCTAAAAATATATTCTTTATTTCAAGGTTGCTATCTATTTTTTGTTTAATTTTTGTTTATTATATATATATATATATATAAGAACAATGAATTTTTTTACGAATATTCCGAAATATATCTAAATACACAAACTTTATATGCAAAAAAACATATTTTAATCGATTGGGTAAATATCTGTGCGACAATGATCTAATATATTATTTGTAATTGTAAGTGTGATAGTCATAAATTTGTATTTATATTTATTAAGGGCTCTTCCATTAATATTATTACTTGCTGTGCAGTCACACGATTCTTTAGTGACGTGGTCGCCGAAGGTGAGCGAAGGCCGGGTAATCTATTTTCACGTAGCGAATGAATTTGGTGAATTAGACGAGGAATTTTACATACGATTCAAGGGCAATAAAGTGAGTGAATTGACAAAAAAATTAAAGACAGAATTAGGGGTGGAAGCTGTAACAGTGTGCTCTAGAAGCCCGTTGGACGGAAAGCTTTATCCTCTTCGTCTCCATCTTCCTCCCAACAATGCGACCATGCACCTTGTTGTCCTTACAAGTTAAACATAATATCTCATTATAATCGATACCAGGTAATTATATATATATATATATGTGTGTATGTGTGTGTTTTATTTCAATTTCTTGTGATTTTTTAGTTGTAATTTGTGAAGTTTTGTTGTGTAGAAAGATCATTATAGAGAGATGAGAGGGGCGTGAAGAGGAATGAGAACATAAGACATGCATATGTGTATAGAAAGAATGCCACAGGCTTGCAGGATATTAGGTCCGACCGGGGATTTATCCAGTGCACACTTTCCAATAGCGGCTGCGGATTTCCACGTCATAAAAAAAAAAAAACACCTTTTTTGGTAATTTGGCATTTGCTTCATTTTTATTATCATTCTTGTTTTGGCATTTTTATCATGTCATGTCGTGTGACCATTGTTTTGGATCAATGGTGAGGTTTTCGAATAAACTTTACTTTTCTCATGGCCCAATTTTGTTTCCATTGGATTAACGAAGGACTTCTTTATTTTGATTATGCGTTTTCGTATTTTAAAAATAGTAAAAAAAAATAATAATATAATGCACTATAAATAAATATTTATTATATTTTGAACAAAAAATAACTATATATATAATATAGGTAAAACAATACAAAATTTACCTATATTTTCACAAAATTGTGTCTCATTCTTTTTTTCAAATCTCATACATTTTCATGGTTTTATAAATTCAATATCTAACTTCAATCGTTCTTATTTGATCTACAAATGTCCAAATTGTAAATAAATTTTCAAAATGTTTATTTCTAACTCTTAAAATTATAAATATATTTATTCCTCTTCTATTTAATCTCAATATCAGTAAAAAAAATTTAAAAAAAGTTTTAGAATAAAAGAGAAGGAATGAGCTTCCAATTTTTGACGCTGCATCGCAGACCGCAACTTGGAATCTCCTTATATACCCAGCCATTTATGTCAATCAGATATGAAACACCACTCCACCATGTTACTCGACTCTCCTAAGTCATGCAGTAGCCTTAAATCAAAATAGCACTAATTAAAAAAATTTAAAGCTTCAATGAATTAATATTAAACTTAAAAGTAGTTATAAGAAAAATTTTCAATGAAAGAAGCTGATAGTTCCCCAAAAATGCATAAGGCCATACGCAACAGTGATCACTGATATCTCGGCGACACATAAGTAATAATTTTTTAAAAAGAATTTAAAAAATCTCCTAGAGATCCCTGTGTTGTGTTCTTTTGAGGGTTTGGACGGTAATTTTTTTTTTTTTTTTAATTGAACTAGTTATATCATGTTATATAAATAAGCTTTTATATGATATTTTGAATGACTTTTAGTATAATAGAAAATAAAAAATAAGTCATTTGATGTATTTTTTAAACTTTAATTTTAAAAATTAATAATTTTGGTATAAATCTAAATCTATATATATATGTATTTATTATTAATGTGGAGGAAAAAAATATGAAGTGGAAGAAAGAAAATATAAGTTAGGCCATCCGCAACTCAGAAATTCTCGTTCTCTTTGTTGTACAAAACCTGCAGCACTAACTTCCACTTTTTCCATCAATGTAGGGCAAACATCCAGTAGATGCGCAACACTCGTACAAATTCCAAAAAGCTTTGCATGAGCATTTTCTATAATAATTTTTCTCATAAAAGCAGCTAAAATAATTTTTGGTACTAATTTTTCTTTGACATTGCTATTGTGGACTGGTTATCGCCAAAAATTGTTGTCGACTCCTTTTGTTCGGCCCAACTTGGTCTTTTTTTTTATTTTTTTATTTATATATATATATATAAACTATATAGCAATGCCTTGGCCCAACTTGTTTAGAGTTCATTGGCATGTTGTTTCGCAATTTTCAAGCTTCTCTCAGAGTCTTTTTCAGTAGAGCTCCTCCACTGGTAACATCGATGATCCTCATGTCAATAGAAACTAGTCCTTCATAGAAATATTGGATTAAAAGTTGCTCAGAAATCTGATGTTGCGGACATCTAGCAATTAATTTATTGAATCTATCCCAATACTCGTATACAGACTTCCCTGATGCTTGATTAATGCCACAAGTCTCCTTTCGCATATTAGCAGCCCGGGGTGCAGGAAAGGACTTCTCAGGAAACTTGCGCTTTATATCCATCTACATGGTCACACTCCCAACGGGCAAGTTGAACAACCAATCATTTGATGCATATTTCAAAGAGAATGGAAAAGCTCGGAGCTTGATTTGGACTTCAGTGACTCCCGGTGGGTTCATGCTCGTACACACCACATCAAACTCCTGCAAGTGCTTGTGTGGTTCCTCCCCTGCCAAGCTATGAAAAGACGACGATAAATGTATTAGTCCAGATTTTAAGTTGAATGCCGTATTATCGGCTATAACAAGAAAATTAATACACAAAGGATGTTGAATTAAATCAGAAGCAGCTAGCTCCCTTAGAGTTCTTTTTCGTACTCTCGGATGTATCACAAAGTCTTCAACTTCATTGGCCTCTTCAACCTCATTGGAATTAGAAGTGTCAGCCAGTTGGACCGCTAAGTTAAGTCCGTGTAACTCAGCTTCTTTTTTTGACCCTCTTTTGCTTTTTAGCTTCTTTTCTCAAAAGACGTGTAGTTCTTTCAATTTCTGAATAAAAAACTAATTGACCTGTACGACCAGCTCGTGGCATAAACCATCAAGCGAGAAAGAGAGTTGGATATAAACAACCAAATATAAAAAAATTCTTATATTGTTCCTCGGCAACAGTGCCAAAATTGTTAGCCTGTCGCACAGTTGTAAAATAAAATATTATTTCCCATGCAACAGAAAATACAAAATGCAATATAGCAGAGGTTATCTCCGCAGGAAAACAGTAATGATTTGATTACTTGGCTATGCATAATTATACTAATATATATATATAATGGAGGGATTTGAGATGTGATTTACTTTGCTAAATAAAAAAACAAAATAATTCAAACTAGAAATAAAATATATTAAGTTGAAAGATAACCAAATATAAAAATTGATTATTGAGGAGAGGACGGCTAGGGCAGAAACGCACAGGAGCAGGAGACTTACAGATTTATAGATCGCGCTGGAGCAAATCGACAGAGAAGATTTCCCCCTCCCACTATGACTTTATCATTCTCTTTTGTTCTTTGTTATTTGATTATGGAGTAGACACTTTTCTGGTTTGAGGGGTGATAATGTTTTGGTTCTTTTGTTTTGGAGATTCTTGATTTTCTTTATAAAAGTTCTTTTTGATTATCAATATTTGTCTAATTCTGATAATAGCGTTTTTGATTGTTAGATTGATTGAATATTTTGGTACCGATATTTAAATTAGTCTGATAATCTAAAGTCAATTCAGGTAGGATATCCGTAATTGTATTCGCACTTGAATAGGTGACAACCGAGTTGAATAGTTCATTCTCGGGAGTAGACAATCAAATCTAATTGCTCATCTTAGGTAGTAATTTTTTTGAATTGGTTTTTTCTAGATTGGAATGCGGTTAGGCAATATTCTTACGGACGCACCTAGGTTTATTTGCTTAATTAGGGGTAGTTAACGGTCGTACCTTAATTACCTACACGGTAAGGAAAAATTGGTTGTCAGAGCTTGTTGATAACTATAACCAATTTATTGATACTTTAATAAAAATTAACTTTATTGAATTTATGATAAAACACAAGTGTCATCATCCCTTTGAGCCAGACATCCCCTTGATAGTCAGTTCCCCTTTAATTTAATTGCTTTGTTATTTTATTTTCATTAGATAATAAAAGAAAAATCCCGTTTTATTTACTGCATTAGAATACGAAAGAGTGAATCACACAATCCATGTGGAGACGATCCCTTCCCCTGTATTACATTAAATTGTGATCACGGATTAGGTGAAATATTTGATTGACTGCGCGACAGGTCAACTCCTCTTGGAATGTCCAACTCCGTTACGACATGCTCACCCTTGACGTGCCACTAGCATGCTCTCCCGTAGAGCATAATTTGAATTGTTCACTTTGATCCTCATCACCGTCAAAGTCCGCTCTAATACCATATGTAACATACCCAAAAGTCGACATGCCCAGCGTTTAGGCTCCGCTCGCTCGAAGGCCCAACATAGGCCTGGGGCCGACCTCTCAATCGGTGACAATGACAACAAGCTTGGTATCATGCAAAGTGATCTGAACAATTCCACATCTCATTTTTCCCTTCCGACCCGCCTCAAACTCCAATCGTATCAATTTATTACCAAATCTCAGAAAGATTGCTTCTTTCGATTATTTGTTCTCCCCTCTTCTATCAATTTACATTAAAATTATATTTCTGCAGTTGTACAGCAGCCACACTCTGATGACGAAAATTTCAGTATCCAATCTCGAACGGCGACAGCCGAATGTGTTTCTGGAAGCCTCTAACCAGCAGCGACAGCGGATGTCCGGCGTCCAGCAGCCACAACTTCCTCCGAAATAGATCTGGATCTCCAATGGTGGCTTGCGGTTCTTCCAACGACGATCGATGGATAGAATGATCTCCAGTCATCTTCTCTGGCATCCTCACCCTGGAAATCTTTGCTCAAGACCGACAGCGGGTCTTTGGACCTCCCTTTCCGAAACTGTAGCCTGTTCTTTGGACCTCTCTTGCCGAAATCGTTTATGGAAAAAAGGACCTTTCTTGTTTTTTTTTTTGTTTTTTTACGGTGAGTAAAAAGTAAATAATCAATTTTGGTCATAATATAATTACAATAAATTAATTTTGGTCTCGATATAAAAAAATCATCAATTTTGATTGCAATATAAATAATTTTTATCAATTTTAGCCTCAAAGTTACAAATCTAATTTGAAAATGCTGACATGGACTTAGAGAAGATGATGTGTCATTTGACCTAGATGATACATGGTTGTGTTGTCACGGTACATCCGTTGTTTACATTGTTAGCAGAACAGGAAAAAAATAAGAACAAAGGAGAATATACTATTTCTACTAGAAAATATGATACAATAAATCTGATACAATAATTACTAAATATTAGAAATTCAAAATTTAAACCAACGGTTGCAACTCCTA